CGTGCGTAGCGAAGGTGGGCAGGACGCGCAGGCCGCGGTGACGGTCAGCGCGCTCGCGGAAGGCCCGCACAACGGGGGAGCACGCGCACGCGAGTCCTCAAGCCTCGAGGTTTGCGGAATGGTGGGGTGGCACGCGCACGAGGGAGCAGCCGAGGGCGAAGGCGCGCGCGGTGCGCTGGAAGGAAAGGCACGCGCAATGCGCGAGGCCATAATTTTAGAGAAATGCTGAGTGGCGAAGCAGCACGCGCGCGGTAAGGTGGCCAGCAGCAGTGGCGTGCGCGACACACCGGATGGGCACGCATGCGCGGAGAAGGAAGGCGGTGCCCTAGTCCTCGAGGACTAGGGCGTGCGGGCGGCGCGCTAAGGCGGTTCGCGTATGGCCTAGAAGAAGAGAGAGAGATCCCTTGGAGTGCAAGCCAAGTTATTTAGTTTCCAACTAGCATTATAATTTCTAGCTTGTTTAGGATTCCTAATATTTTATTGCTTTATTATTTTCCTAGGTAGATTAGACTTAGACAAATCTTGTGCCTATATAAAGGCCCTTACCCCTTGTTATTTTTCATCATTCAAGAAATTAATAGAAATCTAGAACTTTGTTCTTCCAACTTTGCTTTAGTCTTTTCACCAAAATACTACTACATCGTTTCAATAGGCGCGGTTGTGGCTAGAGAAACACTATCGGCGATTCAAGGCGCGGGTTAGCGGCTTATCGGCAATCGAAACACACGATCCTCATCAGCGCGCCTACGCGCATGACTGCTGCAGCGCGGGGCTTGACTGCGGGGTACTGGGCACGCGCATGCACTACTGGGTGTGCGGGTGCTGCCAGCGTGCCCGCTGGGACTGCCGGGCGTGCCGCGCGCACGCTGTGTGCGGATAGGCACTACGGTCGGCCTTTCGCCGGCCGTCCGGCTACTTTTTCCGGCAACCCTTATGTGACTGATCATAATTTGACTTGACTTGACTAAATATGCATGAATTGTTCGGGACTTGCCGGTTAAATTTTGAAATTACTCGGAGAGGGCTTATATAGCACCTTCGAGGCCGTTTTTGCATAAAACATCGGCCGAACGACATGATATTGACATGATCTAATTAACATAGACTTAAATACATATAAAGAGGGTAAATAAGTGTATACCCTTCAGTTCAGACGAGAATTGCACGGTGGCTTGCGTGAGCTTGCACGGTGCGTTTGGTAGTTCATACTTGCTTCTCCTTGGCTTCAGCTTTTCTTAGCTATTGTTCTATAATTTTTCCTCTATTTTTCCTTACTATTTTCCCTCAGTACTTGGCTGATGTTGGGTTCGGTTTTTGCATGAAATGCATGGGGAAAATT